GAAGGGGACTTCTTAAGATACTCTGTCAAATCCCCTTCTTTTAGAGATGAGGGAACTGAATCACAAAGAGGTTAAGTGACTGGCCCAGAGTAACATAGGTAATAAGTAACTGAAGCAGGAATTGACCCATATCTTTCTGACCCAACTCCATCACTCTATCCTGTACATCATAGCACACATTGGTCATTCTCCTTCCCTCCCCTCCCCCTCCCATTCTTATCCCATTGTGGTCACCCAGTCTCTAACAAATCAAAGCCCTACATTAGGGGCAGGAAGAGGGCTTTTCTGGGTGTGTGGTCAGGGTAGATAAAGGGGAACCATTTTTCTTCCTTTTAGCCTCTCCCACCAGTCCTCCTGATATATCTACAATTTAGCCTAAGAAAGCCACACATTTACTCTGTTTTTGAAGCTGGAAAGTGTGTGCTGCTCAGAAATTTTCTGGCATTAAAGTAATTACGTGATATCCAATCTGGGGATTCAACATTCAGACATGCTAACTCACCCTGGCAAGATTAGATCTTTCTTCTTCTTCTTCTTGCCTCCTGGCTAGTTTTGTTGCCATCTTGTATTCATTTAAGCCAAGGAATTGAAAGTATTGAGAACAAAAACCACTATTCTTTTCCCTAGGCCCTGGGTCTGAGGCCAAACCAGACCTGCTGCTGAAAAGAGATCTTGGCCCTTTCAGTAAGTGCATCTCTAAATGGGCACTTTCGCTTCTTATTTTCCTGGTGATAATTTTTACTCTGTGCTGGTCTCTGGTAAAGATTGAGAACTGAGTTTTTCCAAGCTAATCCTTTTTGCTAAATGCTGAGCAGGATACTGAGGTTTTTTTGGCTTGTAAGTCTAGGAAACTTTAGACATAATTAAGTATGATTATTTTCCAGGCCATTTATTGGAGGATTCAAATAAGCCTGGGTTACTTGTGTTAAAGCTTTGTGCCTTGGACTTTGTATATATAGAAAAACACATTCAGATTTCCAGTTATTGAAATCAGTTAAAAAACATTAGCTCTTTGTAGTGGTGGTAGAGTTTCTGGCTATCTCGTCAACCTGGACAGACACCCACACTGCCCTACAAATGCGTATCAGTCCAATGTGTTGTGGACTAAAGATGGTTATTTCCATAATCTTAATGATTAAATTTCACCAACCATTTGCTGGCTTAATTCAGTGCTCACAAATGAAAAAAAAAAAGCCCAGCAATCAATTGTCACAAAACCCATTCACCTTCACACCCATTCACTCCCACTCACTCATGCTCCCATTCACACAAAATAACATTCAGTTATACATACTCATGACTCTACATATCATAAGGCATAGAACAATGAAACAAAAAAAAACCCTTTATTTAGCCTCTATTTTATAAGGATAAATACAGTAGAGAGAAATGGCTCCTGGAATGTGCTGAGCACTGTGCAAAGTTCTGAGGGAGATATATAAAGTTGAAATGCAACCAGGAGTGTGTCAAAGCCAGCTTGGACCACCTCTTGAGAGTTGATAGTTAAATTTTCAGTGGGAGCATTTACACATAGGAAACTGGCAAGACAGGCTTTGACCCTTGCTCTAGACTGAAGAAAGTGATGGAGAAAATAATTAATAATGCAGATTAACTTAAAAGTATGGCATGAGTGTTCAGAGAGCCTGTTATTAAGCATTTGCCAGCACACCCCTGGAAACAACATAGTATTGGTCCTAAAAGAGATCTTATCCATAACTTAGTTCAATCTTGGAGGAAAAGACACCAATAGAGATAGTTACAAAATGCTGTATTACATGATAAGTGTATCAAAGAAGTATAAAGCAAAGAGTTACGTGAGGCCCAATGGGAAAGGTCATCATCAGATGAGTTTCAATGAAAGTTTTACAGAGAAGGTATTTATTCCACTTAAAACACAAATAGGATTCTTTCTTAGGATCATAGAATCTAAAGTGGGAGGGGACTTCAGTAATCATTTTACAGATGAGGAAACTGGGGCCCAGAGATGTTATTTGTTTAAGGTCACACAGATAGTAAGTGACAAAGGTAGGATTTGAACCTAGGTCCTCTGTTTCCAAAGCTATTGTTGGGTCTTAAAGAGTAGATAGCAATTTGATAGGCTAAAGCAGGGGTGGGTTGGGCTGTGATGTTCTCAGTACAGGGAATAGCATGAACCAATCTCCTATTCCCTGGTGCTTTTGGATTTATAAAATGTTTGTTCCACAATCAACTTGTGAGATAGGAACTCTAAGGATTATTCTCCCCATTTTGCAGATGAGGAAATTGAGGCTTAAAAGATAGTACAACTTTTCCAAGACCATGCAACTAGGAAAAATAGAGTCAGCACTTCAGTGTAGGTCTTCTGACACCTATTCTAACACTCTTTCCACTAGACCACATTTGTCTCTACTCTTTTCCCTGGAACTCCCAATTCTTATTCCCATCCTTGGTCCCATAGTGGTCACCCAGCCCTCTAGCTAATCAAAGCCCTAAATTAGGGGGTTATCATGTATCCTGGCTAGAAGGTCAGGAAGCAACAGGGTGTGTTTAGAGGATAGAGAAGAGACATTTGACTGGAACTTCAAGTATGAGGAGAGAAGTAATCTGAGACAAGGCTGGGGAGGTCATTGGACACCCTCACAATCTTTTTGGATGAACCAGCTCTGGGCAGCACAGAGTCCACAGCTGCCATTAAACCTCAGAAACAGCAGCAACAGCAGCAGCAAAACCATTCCATTTGGCTAAGCAGCAAGTTCTGACTCCTAAGTGACTACCTTAGCAAAACAAGTCTCCAAACTTTGATTGCTTTTTTCCCCCATGAGTATAACATAAATTCCAACTCTTGCCATGCTGTTTCTATCAAGGAATTCATCTGGCTTTGGTTTTGTGGTCTTGGAGGACAGATCAGACGTCCAAAAATTTTTTAATAGGCCTGATTTTCTTTGTTAATGGATCTCTTTGAGATTTTTCCCTCAGAAGCAGGAAGTTAACTCTCTTTTGGCAGGAAAGTTAAGACAAACCCTGGAACAGTGGAATTCCCTATAAAATACACAACTTACTGAAGGGCAAAGGATGTGTGTGATATCATCTAAGCTATAACTCAGAGAGAGGGCTCAGGGTTGTAAAGAAGGTGACCTGAGATGGACTAGGGAGTTCTGGCTCTTCTTCTCACAGGATAGGGAGACCTGAGTTTAAATACTCTCTGGTTCTACTACTTACTACATGTGACTACATACGTGACCTCAGGCACTTAATCACTCACCCTTCTTGGTCCTTAGTTTCTTCATTTGTAACATGAAGGAACTAGGGTAGATGATTTCTAAGCTCCCATCTAATTATGAATCTAATGATCTAAACCAGAGGTGTTAAATATGTGTCCCATGGGCCTCATGTGGCTCATAACACTCCTGAGAGCAGCTAAAATGTATTAGAATGTAATTGGGAAATATTTGAAATAATAGATAAAATATAATACAAAATAGACAACAGTATATTGGTACCACCTCACACTTATCAGGTTGGCTAATATGACAGAAAAGGAAAAATGATAAATGGTGGAGAAGATGTGGGAAAAGTAGGACACTAATGTTGGAATTGTGAAATGATCCAATCATTTTGGAGAACAATTTGGAACTATTCCCAAAGGGATATAAAACTGTGCATACCCTTTGATCCTGCAATACCACTACTAGGTCTGTATCCAAAAGATATCAAAGGAAAAGGGAAAGGACCCGTATATACAAAAATATTTATAGCAGCTCTTTTTGTGGATACCATCAATTGGAGAATGGCTAAACAAGTTGTAGTATATGATTGTAATGGAGTACTACTGTGCTATAAGAAATGTTGAGCAGGCTGATTTCAGAAAAAAATTGGAAAGACTTATATGAACTGATGAAAAGTGAAATGAGAAGAACCAGGAAAATATTGTACACAGTAACAGCAATATTGTATGATGATTAACTGTGAATGACTTAGCTATTCTCAGCAATGCAGTGATCCAAGACAATTCCAAAGGACTAATGATGAAAAATGCTATCCATTTCCAAAGAAAGAGCTGATGCAGATCAAAGAACACTTTTTTTAAGCTTTCATCATTTTTCTTGTTTATTTTTGTCTGTACCTTCTTTTACAAGATGAGTAATATGTAAATATGTTTTGCATGACTGCACATGTATAATCTATATCAAATTGCTTGCCTTCTCAAGTAGAGAGAAGGGAGGGAGAGAGGGAGAGAATTTGGAACTCAAAAATTTTTTAAAAATGTCAAAAATTGTTTTTTTACATGTAATTGGGAAAAATAAAATATTTAATTACAAAAACTAACTCATTGTGCAACCTTGTAGGTATGCTTATGTATGGAGTAATGTCCTCTATTTCTAATTGAGTTTGACACCACTTATCTAGAGCAGTGCCTCTTAACTGAGTTAATAATATGACAAGATAATAAACACAAATTCTTTACTGAGATAGAGCTCCACCTCACTCAGCTTCAAAGCAGAGACAGAAGAGAACAGAAGAGATTGATGGGTCCTAGACTGTGAAAAGGGGGATGGGCAAAGGTATTGTCAATTTAAAAACATTTATAGGTATTAGAGCAAAAGCAAGTTTCATGTTTGCAAACATTTGCCATGAACTGGAAATAGGATCATAAATATTTAGCTGGAAAGGCTATCTAGTCTTACCTCCAAGCCCCCATTTTAAAGATGAAAAAACTGAAACCCAGGAAAGTCAAGATTTGAACTCAGGTCTTATGACTCTAGAGTCAGCACCATCTTCACAGTACCATTCTGCCTCTCCCTGACCATGCCATGCTCCATGAACTAAGGATTGGTGAAAAAATAATGATAAAGAAGACCCTCCTCCTTTCCTAAGGGCAGATGCAGAGCACTAAAGTGCTGCTCATTTTAGTAGAGAGAGGGGGAAATCTTTTGAAATCATTGCATCAATCACTTACCCCAAGACTTATAATGCAAAACACTGATTGTGTCCTCTACTATTCTATTCTCTTCCCTGACCAGGCGTGGTGTGCTCCACCTTCATGAGAGCAACGGAATCCATGACATTGGCATGCCCCAGTGGCAGCTCTCTCTGTGCCTGATGGTGGTAGTCATCATTCTCTTTTTCAGTTTGTGGAAAGGAGTGAAGACATCAGGAAAGGTAATCTCTTCTGCTTAGCGCCAGGAAATCTCTAGAGTTGGAAGCGGCCTTTGAGATTATCTAGTCCTGTATGCTGTGTTTCTCCCTCAGTCAATAGTGGCTTATCTTATTCCAAAGAATATTTTAAAATGAAATGAATCCATGCCGCACTCACAATTCTCATCCTCTGGAATAAGCCTTGGGAGTGGCAGCATGGTAAGGCAGCAACTGTTGCCAGTTACCCTAAGAAGGGCACTGGTCTCTCTCCTGTCTGAGAATGCTCATGGGGAGAGGTAGAATACTCATGCATCTCTGTGATGGCATTTAGGCCCTACTGTTGTATTGCGGTAATTGAAATGTATGCTTTGGAAGGAGAGAGAGCAAGAAAACCAGGAATGAACTGAAACCCTTTTGTAGCAAATTAATGTAACTCTGCACAAGGTGGGGGAACCTGCAACCTTGGGGCCACATGTGTCCTTTTAGGTCCTCAAGTGTGGCCCTTTGACTAAATCCAAACTTTACAGAACAAATCCTCTTAATAAAATGATTTGTTCCGTAAAACTTGGACTCAGTCAAAAAGCTGTACCCAAGGACCTAGAAGGCCACATGTGGCCTTGAAGTTGCAGGTTCCCCACCCTTGTTCTAGGGTGTTGCTTGGGTGGATGGGTATTTGTTTTCTCCTGTTTTGTGTCTCCTAGGGGAAGATGCTTTCCATTGGACTATTCCACATGTTGCTTGCATCTTAAATACAGTATATGCCAATGGGATGTGGCACAGAGTCACAGTTATAAGCAACTATATCCTGGATATCACCTTCTTAGTCTTTCCTTATTCATATACTACTACTACTAATAATAATAATACTAGCATTTTACAGATGAGAGTATTTAGGATAATGGAGGCTAAATTACATGATCAGAATGACACAGTCAATAAGTGTATGAAGCAGGACTTGGGCTCAAGCCCTCCTGACTCCAGGTCCTTGGATATGTTTGTGTCAGAGGTTGCAGGACTCCAACAGAAGTGTAATTCTGATGTAAAACACAAACATATGGTATGTGACCATGTCTCCAAGTTCTCATGCATAAGGGCACTTTAACTTTATTAGGAAAGAATAGACCAGGAGCTTGTGCAGGAGAGACTGTTAGGTGTCTAGTTCTAGTCTTGGAAGATTGCTGCATGTCCTTCCTGAGATTTTTGTTGTTGTTGTTGTTGTTTTTGTTTGTTTTTGGCACAAATAAAATTACTTTACTATTAAGAAAGGAATTCTGGGGTCAGGGCAGGGAAAAGAGTTATAAAAATATTCCTATTCAAATAGCATTTCCCACTAAATAATCTTTTAATCTTGCTGATTTTTTTTCCCCCTCAAGTGGACATTGGGAAAAGACTCTTTGGAAAATGATCTCTTAGCTAAGTTTCTTTATGAAAGAAATGGAACTCTATTAATGATTATCCCATCACCAATAGAATTCCTGGGAAGTGTGAGCATAATTTTCTCTTTAAAATGTCCTCAGGTCTCAAAAGAGAGTCCCCAACAAGAGTGCTCTCTGACACCATTGGACATAGGAGCTGTAATAGATTCAAGAAGATGCCTTGTGCCAGTAGCACTAGCTACTTAGCACTTGTGCTAACTCATGAGGAGCACAGTGTTTAGGAGCTGGGCCATTTGCTTGGTCTGTACCAACTATGCTATTCAGACGAGGCATACTATTGACACCACATGGCTAATCTCCACCAGCTGACAGGGCAGGGGTCCCAGCCTAGCCCAAGGTAATGAGATAGGGGTTTTCTACAACTGGAGGCACCACAACTTTCCTCTGTCTCAGTCTCTAATTATCATTGCAAGCTATCACAGAAAAAGTGGGTATTCTGTTCATTTATTTTGGAGAGGCATCCTGAATGGAACACAGTATTTCCAACAGCAGATTGCCCTGGCCTCAGTGCCAAGGCTCTGAAATGGATTGCAAGTGCTTACACTTCCAGCTTTGGCAAGGACTCAAGATTTGGGAATATTCTTTAAGCCCATAGTTGTTTAGAGAGTAATATGTCTTCACTCATCTAGGACCCTGATTGTGGCTTGAACAATTTGACTAACTTTCCTACATATTTTAGAAATGAGTCCTTTATCAGAAACACTGGCTATAAAAATTGTTTTCCAGCTTTCTGCTTTCTTTCTAATCTTGGTTGCATTGTTGTTGTTGTTGTTGTTTTTTTGTGTGCAAAACCTTTTTAATTTAATGTAATCAAAATTATTCATTTTGCATTTCATAATGTTCTCTATCTCTTGTTTGGTCATAAATTCTTCCCTTCTCCATAGATCTGACAGGTAAACTATTCCTTGCTCTCCTAATCTGCTTATGGTATCATCCCTTATGTCAAAACCATGTATCTGAAATGTTGGTTTATGCCTAGTTTTTGCTATACTATTTTCCAGTTTTCCCAGCAGCTTTTATCAAATAGTGAGATTTTGTCCCAGAAGCTTGATGCATTTAATATTCCTGCCTTCTGCATTGGATTGTGAGGTTTTTATTCCCAAATTCATGGTCAATTTTTGTGTAGGCATCATGTACCACTGAGAAAAAGGTATATTCCTTTCTGTTCCCATTCAATTTGCTTCAGAGGTCTATCATATCTAACTTTTCTAAAATTCTATTCACCTCCTTAATTTCTTTGTTGTTTATTTTGAATTTAGATTTATTCACTTCTGAGAGGGGGAAGTTGAGTTTCCCCACTAGTATAGCTTTGTTGTCTATTTCTTCCTGTAACTCCTTTAACTTCTTCTCTAAGAATTTGGATGCTATGTCACTTGGTACATATATGTTTAGTATTGATATTACTTCATTGTCTGTGGTACTTTTTAGCAAGCTGTGGTTTCCTTCCTTATCTCTTTTAATAAGACCTATTCTTACTTTTGCTTTGTCTGAGATCAGGATTCCTACTTCTGGTTTTTTTTGTTTTTTTTTTTTTTAGCTAGAGCATAATGTATTCTGCTCCAGCCTTTTACCTTTACTCTGTGTGTATCTTTCTGCTTCAAATGTATTTCTTGTAAACAACATATTATAGAATTCTTGTTTTTAATCCATTCTGCTCTCTGCTTCCATTTTATGGGAGAGCTCATACCATTCACATTCACAGCTATGATTACTAAATGTGTATTTCCTTCCATTCTATTCCCCTCCCATTTATACTCTTCTCTCTCCTTTCACCCTTTTCATCCTCACCAGTGTTTTGCTTCTAACCACCACCTCTCTTAATCTGCCCTCCTCTCTATCAGCCCCTCCTTTCCTTTCCATTCCCCTTTCCCCTCCTACTTCCCTATAGGGTAAGATAAATTTCTATACCCAACTGAGTGTGTATGTTATGTGATAAGAGTAAGGTTCCCTTCTTTCCCTCTACTATAATAGGTCTTTTGCACCTCTTCATGTGATGTGATTTACCCTATTCTGCCTTCCCCTTTCCTCTTCTCCCAGTACAATCCTTTATTTCTCCCTTATTTTTTTATATCATTATGTCAAAGTCAACTTATACTAATACCCTCTGTCTATATACACTCCTTCTAACTGCCCTAATCAGAGATACAATTCTCAAGAGTTACAATTATCATCTTCCTGTGTAGGGATGTAAGCAGTTTAATCTTATTGAATAATATTTTTTTTCTTTCCCATTTACCTTTTTATGCTTCTCTTAAGTCTTGTATGTATTTTCTATTTAGCTCTGGTCTTTTTATCAGGAAACTTTGAAAGTCCTTTATTTCATTGAATGTTCATCTTTTCCCCTGAAAGACTATGCTCAATTTTTCTGTGTATTTAATTCTTGGTTGCAATCCAAGGTCCTTTGCCTTCTCAAATATTATATTTCAAGCCATATGATCCTTTAATGTAGAAGTTGCTAAATTCTGTGTAATCCTGACTGTGGCTCCTTGATATTTGAGTTATTTCTTTCTGGCTGCTTGCATTATTTTCTCTTTGACCTGATAATTCTGGAATTTGGCTATGATATTCCTTGGAGTTTTCATTTTGGGATCTTTTCCAGGAGATGATTTGTGGATTCTTTCAATGACTATTTTACCCTCTGGTTCTAGGATATTAGTGCAATTTTCCTTGATAATTTCTTAAAAGATGCTGTCCAGGCTCATTTTTTGATCATACCTTTCAGTAGTCCAATATCTCTCCTGGATCTTTTTTCCAGGACAGTTGTTTTTCTAATGAGGTATTTTATATTTTCTTCTATTTTTCATTCTTTTCATTTTGTTGGACTTATTCTTGATGTCCCATAGAATCATTAACTTCCACTTGCCTAATTCTAATTTTTAATGAATAATTTTCTTCAGTTACCTTTTGTACCCCCTTTTCTATTTGACCAATTCTACTTTTAAAGGAGTTGTTTTCTTCAGTCAATTTTTGTGCTTCGTTTTCTAAGCTGTTGACTCTTTTTTTTTGTAATTCTCCTACATAACTCTCATTTCTTTTCCCAATTTTTTTTCCACCTCTTTACTTGATTTTTAAAATCTTTTTTGAGCTCTTCCAAGAGGCTTTTTGGGCTTAAGACCAATTCATATTCCCCTTTGGGGCTTCACATGTAGGCATTTTGACATTGTTGTCCTCTTCTCAGTTTGTGTTTTGATCTTCCCTGCCATCATATTAGCTTTCTGTGGTCAAGGCTCTTTTTGTTTTTTGCTCATTTTAAAAAAAATTGAACTCTGCTCCTGGAGCACAGAGGGCACTGTCCCAAGCTTCTTGTGTTGGGGACAAGGGGTCTGGTCATTGGCTTTCTGCCTGGGTCCTCAGGTGTTTGTGGATTGCCCATTGTGCTGAGGAGGCCCGTCCTAGTCATACCTGTTGTGCCAGGGTACTGGGGCTGGGAATTTTCCTTCTGAGCTGGGGCTGGAGGCCTCACAGCTGGCCTGCTGTGCCATTAGCCTGCTGAGCCAGGGCCTCGGGTCCTCAGTTACTGATCTGTTCTGTGGCTAAGAGCTGGCTTGCCTGAACACCATATGAACTGGGCTGTGCTCCCCTTTTACC